GTTTAATGATTTCTTTTTTGAGATGGGGTCTTGCACTGTTGCCTGGGTTGGAGTGCAGTGGCGCCATCTCAGCTCACTGCAACCTCCGCCTTCTGGGTTCAAGCGATGCTCCTGCCTTAGCCTCCCCAGAAACTGGGATTACAGGCACCCGCCACCACACTCAGCTAAGTTTTTGTATTCTTTTTAGTAGAGATAAGGGTTTCACTATGTTGGCCGGGCTGGTCTCAAACTCCTGACCTGGTGATCTGCCCGCCCCGGCCTCCCAAAGTGCTGGGATTACACGCGTGAGCCACCATGCCTGGCCTCTGATTTTTATTTTAAGTTAAGAAAGACTTGATCCTAATTACATGCCGAGGAGAAGAGGCAGGTGAGAGGGGATGGAAGAAAAGGAATAAAGGAGATGAAGGAGATTAAACAAGAAGGAAATTCGAGGGCAGAATCGGGTGAAGGCGCCACTCTGCTCCTGCTCCCTCGCCTGCCTCAACACCACCCTAGGATGCCACCAACTCTTGAGTGAAGAGAGAAACAACAAAATTCGTCTGCATGCTGGCGAGGTGTGGAGAAACAGGAATGCTTGACACTGTTGAGGGGAGTGTCCATTAGTTCAACCAATGTGGAAGACAGTGTGACGATTCCTGAAGGATCTAGAACCAGACATACCATTTGACCCAGCAATCCCATTACTGGGTATATACCCAAAGGATCATAAATCATTCTACTATAAAGACACATGCACACATGTTTATAGCAGCACTGTTTACAATAGCAAAGACTTGGAACCAACCCAAATGCCCATCACTGATAGACTAGATCAAGAAAATGTGGCACATATACACCACAGAATACTATGCAGCCATAAAAAAGGATGAGTTCATGTCCTTTGCAGGGACGTGGTTGAAGCTGGAAACCATCATTCTCAGCAAACTAACACAGGAACAGAAAACCAGACACCACATGTTCTCACTCACAAGTGGGAGCTGAACAATGAGAACATATGGACACAGGGAGGGGAATTTACATACCAGGGCCTGTCAGTGGGTGGGAGCCTAGGGGAGGGACAGCATTAGGAGAAATACCTCATGTACATGACAGGTTGATGGGTGCAGCAAACCACCACGGCACATGTATACCTATGTAACAAACCTGAATGTTCCGCACATGTATCCCAGAATTTAAAGTATAATTATTTTTAAAAAGGAGAAAAAATTTCTTCATAACCTGCAGTGGTTATGAAGAGTCTGCTGATCTTAACAGGGACATTTTTGGCTACGTGGCTCCTGTGGAAAAACAAGAAACTCGAAGTGTGACCTCAGAATCTTCTGGCCCCAACCTCGTGAAGGCAGGCAGGCTGTGGGCCGCCCACCAAAGGGTCCCCACCGAGCAGAGGCTAGGATGGGAAATTATTCCCCTGGAAGGTGACATGGCAGGGAGCAAGGCCAGGACAAGTGAGGCTTTCCATCCTTCTCTGCCTGGACCAGGAGGGCTCCCACCCCGTGATCGTGAATCAACCCTTCCCGGGAGCCTCGGCTGCATGTCCCGCAGCTGACCGCCTCTTCCGGTGAAAGTACCAGCCCTGACAGGCATGCAGTCAGAAATATGGCCTCGTCTTGTTGAGGGACCACACGCAACACAACGAGACGCGTGGCTCTGAACAGGCGGTGCTCGGTCAGGGCTGGTGACCTGTGAGTCAGCCTGGGCTTCCCTTTCTCGGGGCCAAGAATAACCTCGGCCTGTGTCTGTCTGTCCCTCCGCCCAGTTTCTCTGTCCCACTCTATCTGTGTATCAGTGGCTTAGATAAAATGCTGCTTCTAACCAGTTCTGCCTGTTAATAGCCTCATTCAAAATATGCTCTTTGAAGTTGTGCACCTTCAGGATCGTGTGACTAACTGCCTTGGCTGCAAATTCTTAGAAACGAGCTCTTGTCTAGGGCCAAATAGGTGTTCCTTCCAGCTTTGTCTTGTATGACTGAGGTCTCTGCCCTTAAACTATCAGGACCTTTTCCTCCCTGGCCTATTGCACCTCAACCCAGACTCCTCACCCCCATGGCCCAGGAGGGAGTGGTTTCAAGTTTCCTGGCTCCCGCCAGGGGCTGACATTTCCCACACTGACCCAGCTTGGACCCGGCTTTCAGCACCATTGGCTAAGTAGCTACGACATGCTAGGTGCTTACAATTGTTAATGTATTTAATCCCATTTAAGTAATTACCTTGTTTAATGCCTTATTGATTTGCATTTCTATTTTATACACAGGTAAGCAGAGGCTTAGAGAAGTTAAATAACTTGACCAAGGTCACGGACACTGGTTTCTGTTCTACCTGACTCTACGAGGGGCTGATGGCTACTTCTTGGATCCATGGGCCTAGAAGAACACCGCAGGATTCAGTATAAACGAGACTGGGAAGAGAGCTGCTGGAGGCAGGAAGGGGATTTTTAAAGCGGGGAGGCTATTTGAATCTTGTGGAGACTGCACCCTGATCACTAAGTGTGTGGCTTTACCAAAATAAGACACTTTCCCTGAGGATCTCAAAGCACACCTCTCATTCCATATGTTGGGGCTGGGAATCACAAACTATCACCATCTGGCAACTAGACAAAAGGATTAAGAAATAAGCAGAAGGTCAAGGTCAGAGCCTGAGGATTGAGAAGGCTCCAGGCCCTGCTGGGTGGCTGCGTGATGCTGCATTGCTTGCTGTGGACTGGATTTGCCGTGTGTTCTCACAGACCACTCGGACACTGTGGTGGCAACTCCAGCCTCTGCTAATATCTTGGAAGTGTTCTGTAGTTTAGGGGAAATTCTACCGAGGGTTACATTTTAAGTTTTTGTCAGGAAAGCACTAAAAGGCCCAGTAATGGCTCATGCCTCTAATCCCAGCACTTTGGGAGGCCGAGGTGGACGGATCACAAGGTCAGGAGTTCAAGACCAGCCTGGCCAATATGGTGAAACCCTGTCTCTAATAAAAATACAAAAATTAAATGGGTGTAGTGGTGGGCACCTGTAGTCCCAGCTACTCGGGAGGCTGAGGCAGGAGGCAGGAGAATTGGCTGAACCTGTGAGGCAGAAGTTGCAGTGAGCCGAGATGGCGCTTCTGCACTCCAGCCTGGACAACAGAGCTAGACTCTGTCTTGAAAAAATAAAATAAAAGGCCCAGTAATTTTCACTCCGTATTCTAATAGCTCGTTGCTGACATCTTACTGATTTGCCCAAATCGCCTCTCCTACTCTCCAGTGGTCTAGCTTGTTCTCTCACTGTGGCCCCAACCCTCATCCCTGCTATCCCTGAGGACTCATGTTTATGCTTCTCATTCTTTTATATCCTTTTACGCCTGGAGGTAGCCTAGTACCACCCTGGTTCTACACCCTACTCCACCCCTGATCTTCCACCTTGGGAAGGTCCTTGCCCTCTGTGACCCCGGGAAGATCCTCGCCCTCCTGTCTTAGTTCAGGCCACTGTAACAGAGACCTGGCCGCTTCAGCAACAACATTTGCTTCTCCTGCGTCTAGAGGCTGGAAACGTGAGATCAAATAAAAGGCCCAGTAATTTTCACTCCTTATTCTAATAGCTCGTTGCTGGTACTTCTCTTGGGTCCCAGCTGTCTTCCTGCTGTATCCTCACAAGGCAGAGAAAGAGAGCTCTGTTCATTTCATCTCCCTGTAAGGGCACTAATTCCATTTTAGGGATCCACCCTCATAATCTCACCTAACCCTAATCACCCCCAAAGGCCCCACCTCCTAGTATCATCACATTGGGGATTAAGGCTTCAACATACACATTTTAGGAGGATGCAAATATTTAGTCATAGCACGTCTGTGGGCCTCAGTTTCCCCACCTGTACAAAGGGGATCCCTGAGGCCCCTTGGCTTCCTGCTCTGCTCATGCTACTGCTTCCAGAGCCTTAGCGAGGGTCAGGGGTCAGCACACTTTGTCCTGCACAGGCTGGATGTCTGCCCTGTCTTTCCCCAGCAGGGGCTTCAGGCTGAGACTGTTTCCTCGGATGGGAGCAGCTCCCATTAGGGCCATGTATGCAGAGAGGCCCATGGAGAAAGTGAGACAAGGGCCTGGCCCCCACAGATGCATCAGAACCTTGGGAAAGTAAAATCAGCTTTTGAAGTGCTGTAAAGGCATTGTATTTTTTATTATGTCTTTTTGTTTTTGAGATGGAGTTTCACTCTGTCATGCAGGCTGGAGTACAGGGGTATGGCAATCTCGGCTCACTGCGACCTCTGCCTCTGGGGTTCAAGCGATTCTCCTGACTCAGCCTCCCAAGTAGCTGGAATTACAGGCATGTGCCACCATGCCTGACTAAATTTTTTGGATTTTTCATAGAGAATGGGGTTTCACCATATTGGCCAGGCTGGTCTCGAACTCTTGATCTTGTGATCCGACTGCCTTGGCCTCCCAAAGTGCTGGGATTACATGTGTGAGCCGCCATGCCCAGCCCTCATTATGTCTTTCATAACTCTGGGTATAAACCATTCTGCGAAACAAATACAGTTACTATAATTAAGCACACACAGGCCCTCCCACTCAGGAGGAGAGAGGACCCGTGCGCGGTGGTCGTGCAGGAAGCTTGCATGCTTATGTGTCCTGTTTGCTAAACAGACCTAAGGAAGAGTGGCAACGGTTACTCAGTAACTGACAGGTGCCTGGAGTCCTGACAGCATGTGTGATGATTTCATTTCCTGTCAAGTCAGGGGGTCTGGGGTGAACTTAGCAACGTTTAGGAAGACAAACAGCAGAGCAGCATTAACCTGTCGTTTGCCAGCCTCAGCTCATCTGAGCCTTGCAGACCGAAGTGAGCCTAAGGGATGGGAATTCAGCCCACTTTACAGATAAGGAGCCAGCGGCTAGGTGAGTCACCGACTGTATCAGGTGAATGCTAGAGTCAAAACTCAAAACCTCCTCTGGAGATCGTCCATGCCTCTTGATCCCCTTCCCTCCCCTCCACGGTGCCATCTCTCCCTCTGCAGCCCCATTATTCAGAGCTCAAAAAGGCACATACCAGGATGTCCAGGCAGGCGGCCTTCAGCAGGGTGATCTGGTCTGCGATGGTCAAGCTGGTGAAGCCCGGGAGGCGTTTAGCAAACTCCACGATCTTGATAATGCACTTGGTGGCCAGTTCACTGAATTTGTCCCAGAGGCCCAGGTCCAGTCGGACTCGATGGTCAGCACTGGAATTCTAAGAGAGATAGAAAATGTCACATCAGGTACAGCTTCCGGGAAGCTCTACAGGAAGCGGGAAACTCAACGTGTTTCCTCTTAAAGGGGTGACACGTCAGCCTAGGCAGGCAGCTTGTTGGTGGGCAGCTGCATTTTTAGCCTGGATTCATCCTTTTAAAATGCTAAAAATCTTATGCCTGTACCACTGGATGATCAAGTAACAGATGAGAGGGAGTTTCTCTGTATGCAGTTATCCAGCTACCAAACACAGGGAATGAGGAGTCACCATTTTCTAACTTTGATGAATGAACGGCTCTAGGCATTGACCATTGGTTCTTGCTAATCTCTTAAAAACAGGCTAGCTGTCATAATGTCCTGATGGAAAAACACGCCACCACCGATCAAATATTCTGGCCAAATATCACACTTGAATCAGACTGAGACCGTAGATATAACCTCAGGAAATCCAGGGACATGACAAACTACACAAAGGGGGTGCAGCTGTCAACATCCAGAATGCCAGAAAATCCACAAAATCCAATGAATGGTTCCTTCAACAAGTACATCACAAGGGAGAACAAGTGGAGAGAGAAGTCTACCCACTGAAAGCAACTCAACCCACACGCTCCTTAACTGATGGGTGGAGAGATACATCGTGATTACAACTTTGCAATGGCAGTGCTGGAGAGCATTAATAAGGAAGGAAACGGGAATACTACACAGCATGGATAAACCTTGGAAGCACGCCAACCCAAAGAAGGCAGACATAAACGCCTTCAAAACGTTTGTGAAGGAAATGGAAACGTACAAAACGATTCCATTTATATGACGTTCTGGAAAAGGCAAAACGATAGTAATTGACAATAGCTCAGTGGTTTTCCAGGAGTGGGAATGCGGGTGGGACTGACCACAGTGGCACAGGAAGCTCTCTGGAGCTTCTACCTTGACCAGGGTCAGGTTATGTGATTGTACACTTTTGTCACTCATCAAGCTACACCTTTAAAAAAAAATAAAAATTACATTATGTAAACTATACCACAATAAACCTGACTTAAGAGATTTAGAAGACTGACAACCACCTGCATGGGGTAAATGTTATCTAAGTTTCAATTCAAAAAATAAACTGTAAGGAGATGGTGATATACACGAAAAAAACTAGAAATAGGAGCTAAAAGGTGTTGGAGATCGTCTTATTTTAGGATGGTAATAGTGGCACTGATGCTTTGCTTTCATTTGCAGAAGCTTCTTTCATTTAGAACATATATTAAGATATTTCCAGGTAAGATGATGAGATATTTGTAATTTACCACCCAACAAAAGGCTGATGTTTGGTCCTCTGACAGATGTAAATGGCTCGGGAGAGGTACTGAGATACTGTGTTTCTCAAACAGAAAGCTTTAGCTCCCCACCTCAGTTAAAATCAGTCTACAGGAAGTCAATAAAACTAGCTCTTGCTTTTTACGTCTGCATGGAAAGCCAGAAAGAAGAGTTTGCACGAGATGCCACAGGCGCTGTAAAAATGGTGGTGGCCAACTTTGCCTTCCACGGTATTCCTTGCGGAGAGCAGACATGCATCTCGAGATTTATGTTCCTCCTTTCTCCAGGACCTTGGTGGAATACAGTACACTTGGGGGAACATGAGATCGAGATGTGTGGCCATTCGGGCCGTAATTAAATTTAATAGGCAGTTTATCCGGTTCATGGGAAGATGACACGGAGGAGAGGGACGGAGAGTCAAGCTCATGGAGGGAAATCATTTTACAATAGAGTATCCATCTGGAAAAAAAGACATTGCCACGACCCAGCGAGTGTGAACGAAATCTTCATCAACATTGGATGAGGTTTCTTTATCACACGCCAGGGCTGAGAGAGAGGAGCCTGTCGTACCTTCTATTAAAAATAATGCACAGCCGTCTTAACGGCATGTAAATCTAACTCACCATTATGCAAACTGAAGGGAAGAGGCAGTTAATAAAACACAAAATAACCTGGTGTTTTATTATACCGGCTGCTGGATTCATAGGCATGAGACTTCAAATGGCTTATATATTATCTTCCAGCTGCGGCAAATGGAGAGCCCTGGCCTGCTTGGGCTGGTAATGAAGGCGGCTGTGGGGAGCACCAGGGGAGCGTGGATTTTCAGCAGCATTTCTGGGTGTGCAGGGAGGAAAACCAGCAGAGGAGGAGAGGCAAGACATGGGTGGTGAGGCGAGGCCCTTGCTGTGTGTGTGAGGCAGGCTGAAGAGGAAAGCAGCCAAGGCAGAAGGGCAAGGGGCTCTCCTCTGTCTGCTGCCAACCAAGAGGCTGGCCAGGGCTACCAGGGCAGGCCCCCTCTTCGGTAGGAGCTACAGGAGTGGCCGCCACCCCAGGATGCTGCATGGTGGCCCATATGGAGGGCCACGCCCATGGCCCCCAGGGCCATCTTAAGCAGCAGAAAATCCAACCCTACTATGAAATCCAATTAAATGCCAATTTTTGCCACGCAGATGGGTCCCTTTCTTCTGCTGGTTTGGTTCTCTGCTGCAACGGGCTGGCAGGACTTTCAGAACAAGACCCTTAAAGTGGAATCACCAGCATCTTTAAATCCCACTGGAGGCAGCTTCCGGGTATGACCATGGTTTGTTCAAGGGTTCTGGCTTTTTCCCCCCGCAATACTAAGAAGGAAATGTAAATTTTCATGAAAGGAATACAGAGGTACAGTTCTGTGGCCATGTTGGGTGTATCCACAGAGATGCCCCCTACCTTCCTAGGCCTGAAATCCTTCCACCATCCTGAGAGACGGACGTTGTTTCAAGTTTGGTTTGCAGACCGTCCCTGTCACCCACATGCCATTCCTGCATGTTCTATATGTGACCACCCCTTTCCTAGGGCCTTCCTCGTGCCAGGCACCATTCTATGCGCTCAACAATCACTGACTCGCTTTACTTGTCACAGCGCCCCCATGCGGTGGGTAATATTATCATTATTATATTATTATCAGTATTATCAGCCATTTGGGTGATAAGGAGGCAAAGACCCACAGAAGTGCAGTCATTTGCACAAGATTCCCCAGGCGAATTGGAGGGCGTGGGATTCACCCACACAGTTGGGGTTGTGCTGTCCTAGCTTCCCACCGCTGCACCATGACACCCCCTCCCTACTGGTTCTCACATATTTCTACTTTCCAGTTAGAATTTCCTGACTCTGAAAGCCTGTGGTTGCATCTGTGATCTCCCTCCTTGTTGGAATCTCTGGATGCTTCCACAAGGTGGCTACGAGAGCTCCCGCAGGGCTATGAAGAGAATGTTACATGCCAGCCAACATCTCTTTGTGATCAACACACACATTATCTAGGTGCTATGCCAACATGGCTTCAGGAACGTCTGCCCATGGGAAGAGAAGGCCCCCAACACGTCTGCAGCATTTTCCTGAGGACTGGATGCCTCCAACAGGTGGGGAGAAGGCAACTTGGCAGCCGCCCTGCAACTCTGGGTCGACAGGAGGGCGACATCTTAAAGGCATGGTGCAGGCTGTGGGTAGAGAGGGCTTCGGGCAAAGGGCACTGGGAGAGGGCAGGTAGGGCGGGTCTCTAAAATCTTTCAAGTATTTCCTAGCAGCTTGGCTAAAAGCAAGGACGATGCTGCAGGATTCCCCTGGAGGTCATGTTTCAGGTATGCTCCTGGACCACCATCATCTAAGATTCCTGAGCTGGGACATGACCGCGGAAGGGACCATCTGTCCATCTGCAGCTCCTTCACTCCTGGGGCTCAGAGATCTGGGGCCTTGGTAGAGTGCAGGGGTGGGGTGGCGGGTATAGTCCAAGGCCCTAGAGGTTGTCCAAGAAATTCTACAATTTTTGAGTGGTCCCAGCCACTGGAAGGGGCCATGAATGCCTTCTGGAGCTACGGGGCATGTCTGAGAAAAATCAGAAGCCCTGCCCTATGTCCCCGCCAAAGCCTTCCAGCCAGAAACAGCAGCTAGGAACCACCTCTTGGAACTGCTTTTCTCATGACTGGAAACTTCCCTTGGCTCCCTAGGGCTAAGGTTCACCTTATCCCAGCACTCAAAGCCCCTAGCAAGCTAGCCCTGACCTGCCTCCTCAAGCTCAGCTCTGCCTTCCTCCCACCCCGCCCCAGCCCTGTGAAACCCTGGGGCACATTCACGCTATTGCTTTTGCTGGGAATGTCCTTCTCTTATTCCACCACTCGGGAGGAATGTGGGTACTTAGCACAGTGCCTACAGAACATTTTTCTTTTGAGACATCAGGACTTACGTGTGCTACCAGAGGTTTCTAAATACTCACAACGCCTGTGGCAAAATTGATTTCCAGCCAGACTTTGCAGTAGAAATGCAGGCATGGAAAGGTAACCTCCGAGCGGTCCAGTTCTGCGCTCAGCAGGTGTTATTGTCTGTTATGGGTTAAATTGTGTCGCTCAAAAAGATGTGTTGAAATCCTAGCCTGGGTATGTCAGAATGTGACCAGATTTGGAAACAGGGTTTTTATAGGGGTGATCAAGTTAAAATGAGGTTATTAGGGCGAGCCCTAATCCAGTATGACTGGTGCCCTTATAAAAAAATGTGGAAATCTAGACAGAAGTCCATATGCACAGAGAGAAGAGGATGTGAAGACACCAGGGAGAAGACGGCTATGAGAAGGCAAAGGATCCATGTGATGTAACTACAAGCACTGCTGGCCACGCCCGAAGCTCCAAGAGGCAAGAAAGGGCTCTCTCGGCTGAACGCGGTGGCTCGCGCCTGTAATCCCAGTACTTTGGGAAGCTGAGACGTGGATCAACTGAGGTCAGGAGTTCGAGACCAGCCTGGCCAACATGGTGAAACCTGATCTTTACTAAAAAAAAAAAAAAAAATTAGCCGGGCATTGTGGTGGATGCCTGTAATCCCAGCTACTGGAGAGACTGAGGCAGGAGAATTGCTTGAACCTGGGAGGCAGAGGTTGCACTGAGCTGAGATCATGCCATTGCACTCCAGCCTGGGCAACAAGAGTAAAACTCCATCTCAAAAAAAAAAAAAAAAAAAGGG